GATTGTCACCTTACTTGTCATGACCATATTGACTACATATGTGGCAAAATTAGCAAAAATATAAATATAATGGTTAAGTTGAAGCATTATGTATCAAAAGCAACACTTATTAGTGTGTATTATTCTCTTATTTATCCTTACCTTACTTATGCTTGTACACTTTGGGGAAATAATAATATTATAACGCTCCATTGTCTCAAATTGTAAAGTTACAAAACAAAGCGGTTCGTGTTATAAATGATGTTCCTTTAATGGAATCAATAACTCCACACTACACATCCTTAGGCCTTCTGAAATTTCCTGATATTGTTAAACTGAACACATGTATGCTTTTTTATGATTATTTCCACCATGAAAAGAGTGACTAGGGTGATTTGGGTGATTGGGATGACTTTGGTGACTTGGGTGACTGGGATAACTACATGTAGGATGACTTGGGTGACTGGGATGACCAGGGTGACTTGGGTGACAGGGATAACTAGGGTGACTAGGGTGACTTGGGTGACCGGGATAACTAGGGTGACTAAGGTGACTTGGGTGACTAGGGTGACTGGGATAACTAGGCTGACTTGGGTGACTGGGATAACTAGGGTGACTAGGATGACCAGGGTGACTTGGGTGACTGGGATAATATAATACAAACTGGGATAACTAGGGTGACTTGGGTGACTGGGATAACTAGGATGACTATGGTGACTTGGGTGACTCGGATAACTAGGATGACTAGGTTGACTATACGCAAGGCCTAGCTAGGTAATCTTGAGTACGTATACAGGTCGTTATCCACTTAATGTGGACTAGGATGACTTGGGTGACTAGGGTTACTAGGATGACTGGGATGAATGACTATGGTTACTAGGGTGACCAGGGTGACCAGGATGACTGTTGTGTCTAGGGTGACTGGGATAACTAGGATGACTAGGGTGACAAGGGTGGCTAGGGTGACTTACGTGACTGGTTTGACTGGAATGAGTAGAATGATTAGGATGACTTGCGTGACTATGGTGACTACCGTGCCTAGGGTGATTAGTGTGGCTTGGGTGACGTGGGTGACTTGAGTAGGATGACTAGGATGACTAGTATGACTGTGAGAACTGGGATGAGAGGCTCAGAAGACAAGAGTGACTGGAATGAAAGGAATGACTTGGTTCACTGGTGTGTATATGAAGGCTAAAATGACTACGATATTTTTTTCAATACAGTGTAGATGCTTTTCAATAATATGTGACTAATATAACTGTGTTAACTTGGATGATTGGATGACTGGGATGAATGAATGACTAGGATGACTACAATAACTACAATGACTATGATGGTACCAATGACTTGGATGACTAAGTGAAGTGACACCTTTATTTAAAGAGGCTGAACAGCTGACAGTGATGATCTAAACTGATAAACTTGTGGCCCTTTATAAACATAAAGTCAATAAAATATTGAAATAATTTTACAATGTGATCATAATGCAAGCCCGTTTTTGAAGCACGTTAGGTAAACAGACTCACGTTAATGAACTTCTCGCTAACTAGTTTGAAGCAGGTTAACGTGGACGTTTATCTCTGAGCTGTACTGTACATAATGAAAGCTGTAATGGAAACAATTATTAAAAACAAGCAAAAATAGTATTTAGAAACTATCTAGAGTCTCATTTTAAAGACTTTAACTATTTAAAAACTTAAATTACCGGTAACTATTTTTAAATATTAAAAACAAGTAAAGTAATTATGAAAAATTTACTGATTTTACTATTTTATGGACTTAATATAATTTCGTCTCTCTTTGTGTAGTAATTATTAAATTTGTATACAATTTGTTTTTAAAGGATGTAACATTTTTAACTTTCTTTACGTCAGCAGACAGTTTGTTCCAATTTCTAATCGTCCTTAGGCTAAAAGTCTGGCCTCCTTCTGTGTTTTTCTTAAAAACAGGACAATGAAAATTTAAATTTAAAAAACGAGTGGATCTGTTATGAATCTGAGAATTTGTCTTCATATACTATAGAATTAATGGTTAATCGGGAGTTGTTCCCTCTAGTCTCTTATAGTGTATAGGACGTATATTCGTATATGTCTCAATAAGAAACGGAATCCAGTTAAGTTCATTAAACATAGTTAACGTGTCTGTTGTTCTAATGCATACAGCTCTCTTCTGCATCCGTAAGACTTTCTGTTGCAATTCCTTTCTGCAAGATTATCATATTGGACTGAGGTAGAAAATGAATTTGTGGCTTTGCTTGAGATAAGGACTAATGAGCCTCAAAAGTCCACCTTGTTTTGACAGGTTCTTGTACATAATTCATCTATCAAAGCTAAGATCTTTATCAACGATTAAACCCAGTAACTAGTGATGCGATATTTGGTTGATATTTGTGTCATTAAGGCGTAGTTATAAGCTTGCTGTTTCCACGCAAAGCTTATGTTGTAACCTATGAATAATAATAATATTTATTGCTTTAAAAGATATGATCAAATGCACATAACACTAAAATAAGACTAAAACAAAAGATATATTACATACTCTCTATATACTAAAGCATAATCATTTGTTACATTTCCTTCCTAATAGGTAATTTAGCATACCTCATAACAAGTAAAAAGTAAAAAGAGAAGATAAAAGTAGAAAATAAAAACCTACGATAACTCAAGACAGGTCACTATGTGCCTCTTTAAAATATAACGTCTTAATGAGTCTCTTAAACTTATCAAAATCATTCTCTTTCCTAATATAGTCCGATAAACAGTTCCATATCTTTGGAGCAGCTGCGGTGAATGATCTGTCCCCAAGAGCGCATTTTGAACTTAGCGGTAGGGTCATGCAAAATAACGCCTACATTACTCCGCAGGTTTTTATTTATTTTTTTCCGTAACAAGTAATACTTTGGTCTTCTCAGTATTGATGTACAGCTGTACATTTTGTTTTCAGTTGACCATTTCTCAATATTCTCCAAATCATTAGAAATAGCCTAGCTAAAGAAGTGATATTTTTGCAGTTTGCAGTTAAATTAAGACAGGGTGGTATTGTCAGCATATATATCAATGGTGGAGTTGTTCAAATTTAAAGGCATATCATTCACAAATAGTAGAAATAAAACTGGACCCAGGATTGATCTCTGCGGCACCCCTTGCCTGACAGGTTTTGGCTCAGATGTTATATGCCCTAGTTTCACAAACTGTCGTCACCCTTCTTGATATGATTGAAACCATGCCACGCTGTCTGGGCTGGCACCGTACACTGATAATTTCTTCAATAATAGGTTGTGATCATGTCGAAAGCTTTATGGAAATCAACAAATACTAGTCGTGTGAGTTCATCATTATCTACTTTAAACAAAATTTTGTCTGTCATTCTGATAAGTTTCAAAAATGGAATGAATTACCAAAATGGAAGGCTGATTGTAATATTTATTGAAAAAGCAAATTATTGTTCTCTTGAAGATATTAATTTTTAATAGCAACTAGTCTGTGTTTTATACCTAGTCCGCAGTCTGTGGTCCACAGTCCGCAGTCTGTGTTTTAAACTGACTGATAAGAAAGACTAGAATGATTAGGATAACTAGAGTGTCTTAAATAACTAAGATGACTTTGATGAATAGGGTGACTGTGTAGGATAAATTAAGTACTGGGTACTTGGATGAGCTGGTTCACAGATGACTAGGATGACTTTATTAATAAGGTTGACCGGGTTGACTGGGATATCTAGAATGAATGGGATGACTACCATGACTTGTATAACAGGAATTAGAAGACGACTGAGACTAGGGTAATTGGGATGACTTGGACAACTTGGTTGACTTGGATGACTAAAAAATAAGATGACTAGGATGTATGGGATGGCTGGGATAACTAGAATGACTGGGATGTCAAAGAAAACTGTTATCACTGGGATAACTGTGATGTCTAAAATAACTAAGGTGACTGTGTTGACAAGGATGATGAGGGTGACTAGGGTGACTGGGATGACTGATGACTGTGATGGCTGGAATGACTGGAATAACTAGGATGACTGGGGTGACTGGGATGAGTAGGATGACTAGCATGACTAGGATGAGTTGAGTGACTGCAATGACTGGGATAACTGGTACAACAAGGATAACTGTTAAATTACTGTGATCACTGGGATGACTAGGGTGATTGGGTTAACTAGGATGACTGATTACTAAGATGACTGGGATTACTAGGATGACTGAGATAACTAGAATGACTAGGATCACTGAGATGAATTGGGTGACTAGGATGACTGGGACAACTGTTCTGGGATGACTACTAAGGATGACTTAGATTACAAGGATGACTGGGATGACTAGAATGACTGGTATGAATTTGATGACTGGGATTACTGGGATGACAAGGACGACTGAGATCAGTGGGATGACTGAGATGCAGTAGATGAAGTAGTACACAATTATGCAAATGTAGGGTGCTTTTGTTAGTGTAAAACAATTTGTTACACAAGATAGTTCATGTACTCATGTAGCTTGTTGGTGTAACCAATTTATGATTTTTACAACTTCTTGATATGCCATTTCATGCACAGTTTAATAATGTTTCACCTTACAACATAAACACTCCTTTAATCAAGAAACCTGAAAAAACTTCGGGCTAATGAGAATGTGGGAAGGAGGATTTGGAAAATTGTGCATACCTCTTTCTCTAAAAATCCTAGCTATTCCCCTTTGTTTTATTGCTGAAGGATTTTAATGTTTATTATCATACTTGAGACAAGAGTTAATTCTCTACAGTAGATCACCGGCTAGAGTTAATGGTTTAAGAACAAGCATTCTTTGGATTTGGTCATTAGACATAAAGCAGATATTAGATGTGATATCCAAACATCTGTAAGTGTTTAAGAAATGAGTGACAGCCATTAGCAAGAAGTCACTCCATATTATTGTCACCAGTTTATGTGCTGATAAAAATGGTTTGTTTATTTTTTCAGGCAGAAAAAGGACAACAAATGAGGCAAATTGGTCAGAGATTGATAGAAATGGACTGCATTCTTTG